TTTATTTGTTGATCTAGACGAGAAGTGCAATGATTCTACCGCGGAAGGCATACTGGACAAAGGTTATTTACATTCTCGAGTGCCCAGTGAGGAGGTTAGTAAGCACGAAGAAAAGTCAAAAGCAAATTCACAAAAAAATTATGAAATTGACACAAAAATCTTTGATATTCAGTTGAAGCACGTCGTGCTGTTTAGCTTTTTCCGATCTACTATAAAAGAAATTGACTAATTGTCGACTATATAGTAAACATAAAAGACCACTCCCGAATTCGGTCTCATCACCATGCACATTGCTGTCTTAAAAAAGGCGTGCCAAATTGTAATGTCTCAGTATTGAACTTAGAGCACTAAGCTTTGACCTGGTGTTGGTCTACATAATTCAAAAATGGTCTATCAGATTGTACCAGCGTTTTAATAATCTTATTCTATAAACGAGAGGTAACATTTGCGCGCCGTAGTCTGTTCAGTTACGGATGTACAACAGTCACAACAGGACATCGTAACGAGGCATAACATGTACACTAGTGGCTAGCTAACCACTTTTTGTTGTGATCACAGTGTGACATTATATTGTTTATCTGTATATAAATCTATAAAGCAGAAAACGGCAGACGATATCTGTTTGTAAGATTTTAAAAATAATTATGTGTATGTATTTATATATTAAGGCAGAAAAGACTGATGAAGATAGTTCAATAGAAATTGTCGCAGTTCCTGGTAAAATGCAAGGTAAGACGTCATTTTCACTTTGCACTTCAAAATAAAGAATATCATAAATATGTATTTATTTTAAATACCTATATTCGTAACGTTATGTACGATATTTGTTCTGGGTTAGGGTTAGGTTTTTATATATTTAAGGGGGTCAAACATGAATATATTATTATTATTATAGCAAAAGATCAGAAATCAAAATATGAACATTTATTATACACTCGCGCGCACTTAGCCAATCAGTAATCGTTGAGAGGGTCACGTGCCGGTCCAATATTTTACGATATTGGACAGGAACCTATTGGACAGTTGCGAATCGTGGCTTTTTTCATGGTTTTCCAACACTTTTCAGTTGTTTTGTCAATTTCAAACATACGACAAGCGATATGGCAGAATAATGAAGAGATAATAATGAATATTGAACACTAATACAGTTTTTTCTACCAGTTTTGTTTAAAATTATAAAAGCGCGGGAAAACTTGTCTTCGCGAAATTCATAGCAGGTAGGTAGGTAGGTAAGACTTTATTTAAACACGCTAACCCCTTCAATACAAATTGATTTCCAAGGGGGGCGTGGTGAAAAAATTTAAAACACATAATAAACAACAAGACACGTATATACAAAGTTAAATATTTACAAACTAGTAGATCGTGACAGGCTAGTTGCACATAAAAGCGAGTTAAAAATTCCTAGGCTTTCCGCGTTTCTAACTTCAATAGGTAAATCGTTCCACAATTTAACACCATTGAAACTTATACTCTTTTTTAAATATTCCGTTTTAGGAAAAGGAAGATTGAGCTTCATGTCAGAATTACGTAAATTGTAGTCATGAGATCTGACAACTGAAGCACTAGAAAATATTTCAGTAAGCGCAGTAGGTGCAAAACCATGAATAATCTTATACATGAGTCTGGCTTTAGATTCAAATCGACGTTCCTTAAGTGTTTTCCACCCGAGCGCAGTCAAAGCAGCTTCTGAGCATCCGTGCTCATTTGGGTAACCCATAATTATTCTTGCTGCCCGATTTTGAAGAGTCTGCAATTTATCAGATAAAACACTGCCAATCGGATCCCACACCTCACAACAATAATCAAAATATGTTTGAACTAAAGCGTTGTAGACAGAAATAAGAGTATTTCTGCATACAAACGGTTTTAGCCTAGAAATCGCTCCAATGCCACTAGAAATTTTCTTTGTCAATTTCTCAATATAAAAATCCCAAGAGAGAAATTGGTCAATATGAATTCCTAGAGACTCAGTCACTATCACTCGGTTCAAAAGTTTACCATCAACAGAAATACAAGGATTATCAACAAGATTATTGATGCTGTGTCTGGATCCTATTAGCATATATTCCGTTTTGCTAAGGTTCAAACAAAGCTTATTAGCCATTAGCCAATCGTTAACATTATTTAAATCATGATTCAAAGCAGACGAAATTTCATGTGTGGATTTGCCACACACAGTGAGCGTCGTATCATCTGCAAACATCCTCGGTGTACAGTATTTTAAACAATTAGGCAGATCGTTAATATACACTAAAAAGAATAGTGGCCCCAAAATCGATCCCTGAGGAATTCCACACTTAATCGGTTTAGAATGAGATAATGTACCATTTATAAAGCATTTTTGTGACCGATTTGTTATGTATGATTCAAGTAACCCCAATGAATGCCGTTTTACCCCATACATATTTAGCTTTTCAATCAAGATTTCATGATCAATGGTATCAAAAGCTTTTTTAAGATCTAAAAAAGCAACAATATTAAGCAAACCTTTATCCATATTTGAATACCATTGATTAGTGCTATCAAGAAGAGCCGTAGTTGTAGAGTGATATCGTCTGAAACCGAATTGACATTTCGAAAGTATGCTAGCATTGGATAAATAGCCATGTAGTTGCTCATAAAGTATACTTTCAAAGGCCTTGCTGATAGCTGGAAGGATAGAGATTGGGCGATAATTATCCAACAAATTTTTGGGACCTTTCTTATGGAGAGGTATAACCTTGGCTACCTTCCAATCGCGAGGAAAGACCCCATTCTGAATTACATAATTAAATAATTTAGTCATAGATGGCGCTATAATGGCTATAGAAAGTTTCAATACTTTTATTGGAATTTTATCAACTCCGATTGCCTTAGAGGAGGATAAAGCATGAAATTAATGTAAAACTTTATGAACAGATACAGTATCAAACTCAAAAGTCGTGGATGATTTACTTATGTATGAACTAAAGTGAGTATTTCCAGAATCAACGGAATTTGCAATTTTGTCTCCGATAGTAGAAAAATATTCATTGAAAGTCTCAGCTATTTCATTAGAACCAGAAATAATATTATCATTTTGTCTAATGCTAGATATAGATGATTTATTATGGCCTCGCCCAAGGATTCGATTTATAGTTTGCCAACTTTCTTTTGGATTGTGTTTGTATTTATAAAGCAAATTACTATAATATAATTGCTCATCCTTTTGTAAAGTGCATGAAACAACGTTTCTGGCCGTCTTGTATGCATTCCAATCTAAAGTGGAATTGGATTTTATTGCCTTCAATTTAAGTTTATCCCTTTCAAACATTAATTTTTTAGAATTTTTATTCAACCAAGGGATATTACTTCGGGTTCTTACTCTTTTCATCCTAAGAGGGGCATGCACATCAAGAACTGCCAGAAACAAAGTTTTCCACAAACACCATTTAGAGTCTACGTCATCCTCACTGTCTAAAAGATCCCATGGCTGAGATAAAAGATCTTCTTGAAATCTGCTGGGATTGAAATGTTTAAAATTTCTAATTTCAACAGTCTGATGGGCTCTCACCCTTTTTTGCACATTAATTTTGCGAACAACAAATATTAAGTTGTGATCGCTAATTCCGATTGGAAATACATCCGAAATATATAATTTTCTCAGGGAGTGAGGAGATACAGACATCCAATAAGGAGCTTGTGGTTTGAGTTACACGAGTAGGTTTAACGATTAATTGGGAAAGTTGATAGACATTCAAAAAGTCATTTAGTTTTTTGGATGCCGAATTCAACGAATCTAACATATTGCAGTTTAAGTCACCAACCACAATAATTTCTTTACCTTCACTATCAAGTTTATCAATAAAGGATTCTATCATAGAAAAATACTGAGAGCTTGCACTAGGAGATCTATATATACTAGCAACAATGAATGGTTGACTGTTTGGTTTGTGAATTTCAACACAGACTGCTTCAAGAGTAGCAGGGATTGAATCATTTCGATTAAGATAGTTTAAATTACTTCTAATATATAGGCAAACACCACCACCTTGCCTATTCCGATCAGGACGAATCAGGTCATAATTATGAACAGACATCAAATCATCAGACAACATATCGTCTAGCCTAGTCTCATTCAAAGCAAGAATATCAAGATCTTGCTTAGCTAATAGAATTCTAATCTCATCAATATATTTCGGCAGGCTGACAATGTTTAGCATGGCTACCTTAAAGCCCCTAATTTTAGGAAAGCCAGACTCAAGTATACTTATTGGATTGCAACTGGCCCGAATCGAATATCATATATAATTAGAAAAGTTACTGCTAAGATAGCTCTCCTTTCCGATTTAGGTGTAAACCTTTAAGGTTTAGACAGCTTTCATCTAGATTTGAATTATCAATAAAGGACCAGTTATTAGCCACGCAAGTTGATTTCAACAACTTGTTTACAGACTTTATTTTCGATTTTAAATTTAGGCCCTTTCTAACTATTAAACCAGAGATAGTCACTTTAGTATTAGGTCATTTCTTGGTTATCATTGATGCTAATCTAGAAATACCTGCAGCGAGAACTTCAGGCGAGTCATTTCCTTTGATATTGTTCGTGCCAATATGGAGAATTATTTAATCGGGTGATCGTCGTATAATAGGTTGCAGAAAATCATTCATGTCATCAATTTTAGCACCAGAAAACGACTTAACGGCAACGCTGACTTCTGTATTTGACATTTCCCAACCATGCACATGTTGAATCATTGAGTCGCCCGCGATAATAACAGTTTTTCTATCCTTTTGACTTAGTTCGTTCTTTCTCGGTCTATCATCGGATGTATTATCTTGAAAACCATGACCCTTGCTCATTTGTCTTTGATCATTCTTTCTCGATCTCTCAGCGGATATATTGCCTTGAAAACCATCACCCCTGCTCTTTTGTCTTTGATCATTCTTTCTGGGTCTATCATCGGATGTATTTGGCGTAATAACATTCACATTTGAATTTCTTACCTCATTGGCACTGGTGTCTGTTCCTTCCACGCTAAGAAGGGAAAACCTGTTTGTATTAACTCTCACCGAGGGGCCTTTAGGTTTATCATCGAACGAATCGTCAACAGTGATTACCGAAGATCTACTTGCATTCGAACTGTCCGTTGGATGTTTGGATTCAGCCTTCTTATTACTTCTGATTTCTGTCCAAGATCCTGTGGTTTCCCCTTGAACATTAACATCAACCTGGAGTAACTTAATGGCTGTCATTAGGCTCATTTTGTCATTCTCTAAATCCTTAATTTTGGTATTCAAATCTGAGACAGTGCATAACAGATTGAGGTTTCTCTCAAGAAGCGAAGTATTTTCGAGTTTAAGTCGATTAATTTCACTCTTTAGCTCATCGCCAATAGCATAGGAGTCTATACTTTTTAAGTCATCAATTTCAACAGCCAAAAAATCAAATTTCTCAGTTTTTAAATTGTGAACATCAGATGTTAAGACTTCAAATTTAGCAGCCATTGTCTCAATAAACTCGTTCATTGTTTGCTTTAAGACATTTATCTCACTTGCTTCATTAATCATCGGTTCGGTGAGCACTGTTAAATTATGCAAGCTAGAGTGCAAGTTTTTATCGCCATCTTGACTCACATTAGCCGCTTTTTCACGCTGGATAATTTGAACAAGTTTGCTTTTGACTTCCTCGGTCTTTTTTTCAAAGTTAAAGTCCCCTTCGTCGAGTACCAGCGAATAGCTATATCCCTACTATCAAACAGCTTACAATCGCCACCAGACGACGTCCATTTAGCAGGCGAAATTTGAAGGTCGTTAATTAACTAGGCATTTAAGATCTTCAAAACTACCAGCCCATTTCAAGCTTCCCTTCGCCGAAATAGATAATAAAGCTCCTTTAGAAGCTAACGACTCATTTATAGGATCTCCGCTTTCTTTATCATTTAAATCAATAGTATAACTTTGAGATAGATCAGAGAGCTTTTCACAGACCTCTTGACAGTACGCCATGATCACCATAGCCTCGCGACGTTAGTAATACTATTTTTTTCGTTAAAATTAGGTCAAATTTCCTAGTTTAAGCATACATGGAATTGAGTTTATTTATGCATACATATTTGTACTAAAAACAAATTTGTTAACTTTTTGTCTTGTTATTTAATAAACAAATTCGCCGCCAATATATGTAGTAATGTTTTCGCTGTATTATTCTCGCTGTACTACTTTATCGGTTTTTGACAATTTTTTGTTATAGAATTGTTTTGTTCGATATAATAAAACTCTTATTGGATTCATCTTCGCCCAATATGGCAAAATATTAAGTCTCGACTTCAATATTAGGCTCGATCTTCCGTTTCGCCCAATATTGAAGTCTCGACCTAATATCTTGCCATATTGGGCTCTGAAGAATCCAATAAGATATATTATGATGAAGTTTTTTATTTCACTAGAAAATGCGAGAACAAGTATTCAGAACAAGTACTCTTTGGAAGCTGATGGATTGGAGATTTTTGAAATTGAGGCGGACACACGCAAACATGATGCACAAGAAGTAATGAATGTCATGATAAACTAGAAATACATGCATGCCGTAACCCCTCGCCAATATTTTCCAAACATTAAATTAACATGAACCATTCACCCACTCAACATCGTTGGTGACCGACGCCCGCGCTCATTGATGAACTTTAGACTTGGCTAATGCTTTCGTTTCCCCGGGTGTAAATAGCCGGGGGGAATTATTACCTCGCCCGGGGCTTACGCCCGGAACGGCGCTCCGCGCCGTTAGCTCGGGGATTAAATGTACATTATATACGTATTTACATTTATATATGAATCAATGTCATAATATACAACACTTGATATCTTTAAGCAAACTTTTATACAAAAATTAAATCCTTTTGTCACAGATCCAGCGACAACCTCCGTCAAATGATGCTTGTTATGCAGACAATATTGATGATTCTCAGGCTCAGCGTTATGCAGGTAGACGTGAACAAAAATAAAATACAATTCACTTGAGCAAGCACTGCAGCATCTACTGTATAGTTAATAAAATTTACCTATTAACTGTAATATTTCACGTAAGTGCATGACTTGCGATTGGATAAAAATCGTGTTTATTAAGCTGGTTGCATGCATACGAGCCAGTTTTGGTCTAACGGCTATTAGTAGATATATGCTATCCATGCATACTAGTATACTATTGGAAATGTAATTTGATTTGCTACGCTACTCGCTACCTATTCCTCGAGAGATAGCGAGTAGCAAAACAATTTTCCTAGCGGACGTTTTGTAAAGAAAATGTCTTCTGGCTCGCGTTTGCATTTTTGAATATTTTATGTTTGATCTCTGAATCTACTGATTGGATCTCTGAATCTACTTGATTCGGGCTTCGCCCTCTTTAACTATATCTGATTATAGAAATCTCGAGCTCGTAATCAAATTGTTAATTAGTGTTAATTATTGATTTTCAATATAGCAATTGTGGACAGCGTTGGAAGTGATAGCGATGGAAACTCTGATGGCATATCCTTGGAAAATATCGAAGAAGTTCGCTTTTATAACAATGACCCAGCACTACCAGTGTACCGTTGGGGGTTATTAAATGGTTTGGCAACGGATGACGTGGCAGCTATTCTTTTAAAGGAACAAATACATCTAACCAAGATCGCTACAAGAGTTCCCTCCCACCTGTATAAGTAAGAATACAGCTTTTGTTGTCGACTCAACGAAAATCCGCAGCAGTGAAGATATCAGATGTGATGATATGGGGGCGTGGGCTTACACAGGATCAAAAGCTTTTTCCTATTACATTGATGAGGATGGAAAAGTCCATAGAGGGGATGATTCGGAAAATCATAAGGAATATCAATTTACCCGTCAATTTTTTAAAAACAAGAGCTTACCGTCATTGCGAAAGGTGATAATAACTGCACAAAACGTCATTTCAAAGATTACAAGTGATTTGTGCTTTATACAGTACATTTTTGGTGACGGGGAACAAGATGTTGTTGTGCAATCTCATGGAAACAAGAAGAAGTTGGATTCCACAGGCGTTCGTGGCTACAGAAGAACAACGAAGAGTACGAAAGATCTCATAGAGAAAAAGCTGACGGTTGTACCACCACGGGAAGCTACTCAAGAAATCGTAAAGGAAAGGGGTGGAATCATGAATATAACTAACGCCGGAGACTTTCCTCGAAATCGCAGCCAAATTTATAACATCAACAAGAAGATGAAAAGTAAAACGAGTGGAGTGGATCTCTCGCACAATGACCCGCTGTTACAAGTTATCATAAAAGCGAAAGAAGAGCAAATGGGAAGGGCAGAAAACATCCTTATTCGAGAAGTTCCATTGTTTCCCGAGCCAATCGTGTTTCTGGCATCAGATCAGCAGCTGGAAGACATTGAACGGTTCTGCACAAACCCGGCGAGATTTTGCGTACTTGGTGTCGACGCAACATTTCAAATTGCCGGGTTTTATTTCACGTTTGTCACCTATAGAAATCTGATGCTGAAGACTAAAAGAGGAAATCATCCCGTTTTTATTGGCCCCGGAATACTCCATAAACAAAAGTTGTATACCAGCTATAAGACATTACCACTATTGATGTCTAAATATCGAGCTGGAACCAGTGCAGTTCTAGTTTACGGCACAGACGGGGAAGATAACATGGCAAAAGCGTTCTCAGATGTTTATTCCAATGCGAAGCACCTGCGTTGTGACATACACATGAAGGACAACGTGAAACATAAGCTAACCCGACTTGGTATTACTGGAGATGTTGCTTCGGAGATTATGTCAGACGTATTTGGTAAAAACATTGATGGCGGAAAAGACGGAGGTTTGGTTGACTGTTCCTCTTCCGAAGAATTCGACAGCGCTTTAACATCAGCTACAGAAAAGTGGAACACTATTCATGAAAATGGTAAGGATTTTGTGCATTATTTCCTAAAAGAAATAGCTGACGTTATTAGAGAAACGGCAACAACTGACATTCGTTCTGTGTGTGGTCTGGGGTATCCACCAAAAGCATACACTCAAAATGCAAACGAATGTATGAATTGTCTCATAAAAGCACAAGAAACGTCCAGTTTTTCCAAAAAAGAGGCCGCACTACTTCCTTACATAGAGAGAATCAGAAGAGAAATTGTTCGTCAACAAGAAGATCAGTTTTTATCTATTTTAGGAAGAGGTCCGTATCAGCTAACGGATGAGTTCTCTTTCCTGGAGGTCGAAGAGCAAAAATTTTATTCAATGACCGACGTCCAGAAGAAATCCCTGAAAAAAAGTTCTTCTCTGCGAAGATGACTGAAACGTCAACACCAGCAACACGATCGATTACAACACAATGTTTGTCAGTCAGAGAAGAAGATGCACAAATTATCGATATTCCTTTCCCAATTTTGAAACGCATATTCGATAAAGCTGCTTTTTTATCAAGCGACCCAACGTATGTTATAAAGGTGCCCACAAGTTCTAACGATCGTCCAACTTTTATGATGCACAGTACTTCTTCTGAAAATCCACACAAAGTCGTGGCGTTTCCCGGGAGCGGTAAAGTTTCTTGCGATCAGTCATGCACAGGCTGGACATTATACGGTATGTGCTCTCATACAGTCGCAGTGGCAGAAACGTTGAAACTATTGAAAGCATTTCTGAAGTGGTTCAAGGAAAGGAAGAAGTCTCCTAACCTTACAACGCTTGCGAACATCAACATGCCACAAAATAAAGGCAGTAAACGTGGTACAAGAAAGAGAAAGGGTGCGGCAAACAAGCAGCCCACCGAAGGTTTGACGGTGCTATCCAAACGCCTGACACAGCCAAATGTAACATCATACCAAAGCCAACCAGAAATTCTGCCCTCTAATTTCCAGAATCAACTTCTTGCCCCATTTGCATCTCCTGTACTTCAGTATGACACTCTGCCAACCAGCGTTCCACTTCAGCACGTGGCTCAGTCGGCTATTAAAGCTCATCAGAATGGACAATTTCCCTGGCTTTCCAACCTGGTGTCTCATCAAAGTGCCTTGACATCCAACATGGCAGCTCAGCAAGGAATTCAGTCCTCCAATCTGATGTCTCAACAAAATGCCTTGACGTCCAACATGGCAGCTCAGCAAGGAATTGAGTCCTCCAACCTGATGTCTCAACAAAGTGCCTGGACATCCAACATGGCAGCTCAGCAAGGAATTCGGTCGTCCAACGTGATGTCTCAACAAAGTGCCTGGACATCCAACATGGCAGCTCAGCAAGGAATTCGGTCCTCCAACCTGGCTCAACAATGTTCCTTGACATCCAACATGGCAGCTCAGCAAGGAATTCGGTCGTCCAACGTGATGTCTCAACAATGTTCCTTGACATCCAACATGGCAGCTCAGCAAGGAATTCGGTCGTCCAACGTGATGTCTCAACAATGTTCCTTGACATCCAACATGGCAGCTCAGCAAGGAATTCGGTCGTCCAACGTGATGTCTCAACAATGTTCCTTGACATCCAACATGGCAGCTCAGCAAGGAATTCGGTCGTCCAACGTGATGTCTCAACAATGTTCCTTGACATCCAACATGGCAGCTCAGCAAGGAATTCGGTCGCCCAACGTGATGTCTCAACAAAGTGCCTTGACGTCCAACATGGCAGCTCAGCAAGGAATTCGGTCGTCCAACGTGATGTCTCAACAATGTTCCTTGACATCCAACATGGCAGCTCAGCAAGGAATTCGGTCGCCCAACGTGATGTCTCATCAAAGTGCCTTGACATCCAACATGGCAGCTCAGCAAGGAATTCGGTCGTCCAACGTGATGTCTCAACAATGTTCCTTGACATCCAACATGGCAGCTCAGCAAGGAATTCGGTCGTCCAACGTGATGTCTCAACAATGTTCCTTGACATCCAACATGGCAGCTCAGCAAGGAATTCGGTCGCCCAACGTGATGTCTCAACAATGTGCCTTGACATCCAACATGGCAGCTCAGCAAGGAATTCGGTCGTCCAACGTGATGTCTCAACAATGTTCCTTGACATCCAACATGGCAGCTCAGCAAGGAATTCGGTCGCCCAACGTGATGTCTCATCAAAGTGCCTTGACATCCAACATGGCAGCTCAGCAAGGAATTCGGTCGTCCAACGTGATGTCTCAACAATGTTCCTTGACATCCAACATGGCAGCTCAGCAAGGAATTCGGTCGTCCAACGTGATGTCTCAACAAAGACAAAGTGCATTGACATCCAACATGGCAGCTCAGCAAGGAATTCGGTCGTCCTGTCGAGAATTGCCCCCTGATAGTTCTCAACACAATACGTTTTAGGTTTCTTTAGTTTTAATAACGTTTATACGCACTATAAATCTCTCACAACACGCTGTCTCAAAATTGTTTCACAATCACAATAACAACTACCGGTATATTCCGGAACTTTCCGAGAGGGTTCAGTTCGGACTCGCGCGTCCCACGCGTAAACATAATATAATATATAATTATATGACAGTTTTCGACACCCTCCCCCCATATAGCTTGTAAAGGATATATGTTCTCAAGAAAACTTTTACTGTAAATTATCAAGTTCTAATGTCTCAATGTTTACACTTGTTCTCCATTTTCGATTTCGGCCATTTCCTGGATTCTGGAACGCGCTGCCACCGCCGCGTCTCGAGTTGTTTGGAAAACAGGAGCTGTTGGGTTAAGGGGTGGAGGGTCCTCTTGACGCTGATTGCACGACAACTCTAGAGGGTACAGGTGATTAACCGCTCCCTCCAAGTGACCATTTGACGTTTTCACCTTTGCTGCACGGATGACACCATCTCTCCCCGGAAAGAGTTCTTCAACTATTCCCAATGGCCACTTTCCTCGGATTCTTTCATCAGAAGCGATGATTACAACTTCTCCGACAGACAACGTAGACGGCTTCCCATGGTGTTTCATGTTGTGCTTCTCTCGTAACGCTCGTAGATACTCGGTACTCCATCTTTTCCACATATGATCTTTGCATGTTTTGAGATATCTCGCTCGTTTTCTGAGGTCTCGATTTTCTTCATGGTGAGGTTCCAACTCAGGTAATACGGTAGTGCCAACGAACTGTAAACTATTTGGCGTCAGTGTAGGTAACTCTATGTCATCTTCCTGATATCCCAATGGGCGATTGTTTAAAGTCACTTCGATGTCTAACAGTACGTCTTGCAACTCGCTCCAAGTTAAACAGCTGTTTCCAATTGACTTGTATAACGCGCGTTTTACTAGTCCGACGAGTCGTTCGAATTGCCCGCCCCACCAAGGGGCGCGACTCAAGTTGAACTGCCAATGAATTCTCTCGTTCGCCAATTGGTTGTGGAATTGCTCATCAGTTTGTACCTTCTTTAACCATGTTGATGCAGCTGCAAACGTTCCTGCGTTATCCGAGTAAATCTTCTCAGGTCTCCCTTTTCTTGCTATGAGCCGTTTCAGTGTTTGCAGAAATTCACCTGTTTCCATCGTTTACATCAGCTCCAAATAGATTGCTCGACACAGACTACACGCGAACAATGTCACATACGCTTTTCCTTGTGTTTTCTTTGTCACACGATATTTTATCGGTCCAGCAAAATCCACTCCCACGACTTGGAATGGACGGTTACCTTGGGTACGATCACGCGGTAAGTTTCCCACTGGTGGTCTTGCGACTCGTTTGGCGTGGAATCGTCGACACCCGAAACATTTCTTCATTACTTTCTTCACCAACTGTCTCAGCCTAGGCACCCAATATCGCTCTCTAATTTTTGTCATAGTCAAACCAACTCCCCCGTGTAAGCTGCGCTCGTGAGCATCTTGAACCAATCTTTTGGTGTAGAGATGGTCATCGGGTAGATATATTGGGTATTCTCCTTGCAATCGACCGTTACAATACATCACTCCGTCTCCTTCGTTCGTCTTCACATTAAGCCGTAGCTTGTCTTCGGTTGCTTGGTCATTTTGGTATGATTGAGCTCGTTTTACCCAGAACGCGTGTTCGTTGTTGATTTCTTCAGTTATTAACGGTCCTTTGTGACGGTTTTCTTTTTCGGCTCTGCAGTTGAACACGAATCGATGCACCCAGGCGATAACTCTGATGGCTTTCGTCAATGAAAACTTTGCGAGAAGGTCGTCAAACTCATCTCTCGAAATCACGGCTGCACTGAAAAGTTCTTTCACTGCTTTTGCTTCAGACTCGCTTTCGGGAGTAGCTGTCGTAACAATATCTGGAGGCCATTGATCTGGGTTCACCAACCATTCTGGGCCGTTCCACCAAACGCGATTTCCCGATACTTTGCCTCCCCTGCTTCCCAGGTTGGCTGGGTTATCATTTGTAGGTACATGGCGCCAGGTAATTTCAGGATGCTCTTGGATCTTCTTGACCCGTTTTGCTACAAATTGTTTATACTGTCCACCGCCTCGTAACCACTGGAATGCAACTTAACTGTGCTATCAAGCCAACCGAATACACTTATTACTGGGACATAATCAATTGCTTGTTGGACATTGGATACAAGATTCGCGGCCATGTGAGCCGACACAAGTTCCAATCAAGGTATGGTGAGATCCTGTTTTGCTAACCGTGCTTTAGCAGCAACTAAACCAACGTTAACACCCGACTCTTGTTTCGCAATGGCATACACCGCAGCAGAAACTCCCTTTTTGCTTGCGTCACCGAACGCATGTAGCTCGACTTCGTCTACGATTTCCTGATGAACTGCTATGGATCTAGGGACAGTCACTTGCTCAGGGAGTTCTTTCACCCATTGTTGGTATTCACCAGATAGTGGTTCTGAAATCTTCACATCCCGTGGTACTTTCTGTTTACAAGCCTCACGGTAGATATGCTTCCCTTTGAGAGTGACAGGCGAAACTAGTCCAAGTGGGTCATATATTCTCGCAAGATTTCGCAAGAGTTCTCTCTTCGTTACAGTGTTTTCATTTTGGGAATCACTATGCTGGTTTCATCTTCTTGCTTGTTCCACGTTAGACCAAGCAGGCTTGATTGGGACTGGTTAAATATGGTTAGCTGCTGTTTTGCAAAGGTTTGATCAGGTTCAGCTTCCACTTCGTTCAAGTCCCGTTCCGGTTCCACTTCACTCTTTTCGCATTCAGTTTTCAGTTTGTTATCTTCTAGCTGTGGTTCGTTTGAGTGCCATTTATGCAAGGTAAACTTGGCATCTTCGAAGATCTTTATGGCACCTTCCTTTAGCTCCATTGCACTGGCAACTGTTGGTTTCCCACTTAACATATCAACATAAAGACTTCGTCGTATGTCAGCAACTAGCTCTGGTTCTTGGGCTTCCCAACTGTCCAGGTGATGTTCCACGACTGCTGCAAGGAGGAAGGGTGAACAGGTTAAGCCAAAAAGTGCTCTTGTAAATCTGAATGTTTCTGTTAAAGAATGTTCATTTGGCTTCCAGAAGAATCTCAGGGAATCTCTTTCCTCTTTCTTAATCCTCACTTGTAGAAAGGCTTGTTTCAGGTCGCCAGACAATGCAACTGGATGAAACCGCATTCGTGTCAGGACGTTCCACATCTTGTTCTGGAGCGGAGGTCCGGTGTCACAGGAGATTCGCCCCCCCAGGAGATTCGCCCCCCCCTCTCAAAAGGGGGGCGATATTCCTAGGATATTCGCCCCGGGGGGGCGAATCTCCTAGGAATATCGCCCCCCTTTAGGAATTTCGCCCCCCCCATATAAATTTTGAATTTTTGATCTAAAAACAAAACGATTGCAAATTGAAAAGATTTATTGTGTGATTTATTTATTTATTTATTTCAAGGAGACAAAATTACATACACATTTTAGGCTTCTTAGCAGCTTGTGGTACCAGTGCACAGTCTGTATAACCACTCATTTGAGGTACTTAGACTAGTGTCATATTCTACACATCTAAAGTGGAACCATGCATTGCCCACAGAGATTGCATAAAATCATGTTGTCGTATTCTTCTGACAGTTTACATTCACATAACATATTATAAAAACAATCGCTTGCAAATTTTATCACTACCAGTGTTAATAATGGCGGCCACAGTGATCAATACTAATCACTTGCTAACAATAAACTATAGGATTAATAAAAAATCTATGGGATGTGTTGGGAAGCGTATTGACTATTGTCCATTGAATCATCAACTTTCCATGTCAGTGTTAGTGATGTAATCTTGATTCTTGACTTCCGCAAAGAAAATTGCATTATGTGGCGTGACATGCTCCAAGTATTATGTAAATATGTAAATAGTCTAATTGAATTGCCAATTAGGTGTACACTTGTATAAATAGGTGTTTTTGCTTGTAATAAAGTGGTTGTTGTGAAACTCATGTTGGGCTAGCACGTTACAATTGGTAGCAGGAAATGGTTGATTCTTATTGAGACGCGTGTTGGTTCAGTGATACATTTATGTGGAGCGATATGCCGGTGACTCGAAGTCAGCGAGGAGAATTAAGGGATGAGTTTGATCAATTTGTCGGCCAAGGTGCAGACGACGAACGGCTGAGTGAACACGAAGCGAGTGAAATTGGCCTTGAAGAAACGCTGCACTCTGTGAAGGGAGTATTGGGCGAGATAAAAGACGAAGAAAGCAAACTTAAAGAATTATATAAGCAAGTTTCGGGGGAGAATCGTGTGTTAGCTGAGCGAATTGAGCGTTTAGAATCACAGGACACGGTTGGTTGGATAAACCGCCAGGCCGACTTGGAAACTCGGATAAACATTCTACAAGGAAACATTGAACGTTTAACGGCCACATCGCGTTCGTATGAGGAGATAGAACGTCAACTTGAAACATCGTCTGCGGAAATTCGAAGTGTTCGTACGCATTTTACGGAGAGTTTTGAAGGATTACTTAGCGCTGTAGAGGGCCTCGATAAAGAACTGCAGTCAACCGTAGCTGATTTGCAAGGCAAAATAAATGACATTAGTAAACTTTGTTTACCAGAGATTCCAAAAGCCAAGTCTACAGAAATGAAAACGGGCAGACGAGATTTGTCTTTCAACGAAACGCGTGGCTCATGTCAGCAAGTTAAGGAGAGTAATTCGCTACGGAAACAAAAACCAGTCCAACCGTGCCCGAAGTTTAGTGGAAAAACATCCTGGGAGGTATTTCAAGCTCAGTTTAGCATTGCTGCAGAGATGAATGGATGGCAAGACGATGATAAAGCTGTTTTTCTGGCGACGGCGTTAGAGGGGAGGGCTGCGATGGTATTGGGTAGTCTGTCCGATAAAGAACGGCGGGATTATAACAAGTTAGTGACTGCTCTAACCGTACGGTTTGGGATGGCTCATCAATCAGAATTGGCCAGAGCTAAATTGAAATGTCGATCAAGGGGCAAAGAAGAGTCCATACCAGAGCTAGCTGAAAGCGTAGAGACTCTAACGAGAGCTGCGTACCCTGATGCTTCGTCAGACCTTCAGGACACTATCGCTAAAGATAACTTTATCGATGCTCTACTGGACGAGGACATGCGGTTAAAGGTTCGTCAAGCAAGACCACAGTCCCTCCAAGCAGCACTGGAAAACGCCTTGGAATTAGAATCCTTCCAATTGGCTTCTCGACACCGAAATAGAACTCCTCGTGGACCATCCTTGAACGTGCGCAAAGTCAATGAAAATATCCCTCCAGAAAGTGACGAAAACTCAAGTATCAAACGCCTTGAATTAATGATTGATCGGTTGTTGCAAGAATTAACAAAGAACCCAAGACGTCGCCCACCCCGTCCACCGACGTCCGCCAAATGTTGGTCCTGTGGTGAACCTGGTCATCTGCAAAGGAATTGTCCAAAAGAAAGCAAAGAACAAACGAACGAGCCCAAGAATGAAGATAGTAAAGAAATGGAAGCAAAGAAAGAAGACCAGCAAAGAAAGCTTAGGCGCGAAGCTTCCGAAAAATCACGGCCGGGAAACGGGAGGTGGTCGAGCTAGAGGGCCTTGGCTCGGCCAGTGTGAAAAGTGGAAAGGCCCCTATGGAAATAAAAGTTTGCGGTGGAACATTAAAGGTATCTGGATTCATTAACAATACGCCCTGTCAGTTCGTGGTAGACACTGGTGCTGACGTGACCATACTGAGTTCTCGAGTATTTCATAAAGTGGATTCTGCCGCATCAGTGAAACATATGTCTACTGATGGAGTTATAAGAGGCTTGGACGGACAAATAATCCCCGTTATCGGACAAGTCACTCTGGAAGTTACGCTGGGTGAAACGGTTTCTACAATGGATGTATGGGTTGCTTATATTCAAGAAGAGTGTATCCTCGGCGCGGACTTTTTGAAGAAGGAGGGTTGCATTATTGATTATCCAAGACAGACACTTCGAATAGGCGAAACGGAAATCCCGCTAAGAATGGGTGGGGAAGAGTTGAAATGTCTAAGAGTGGTCCTGGATAAAGCTGTGAAAGTGCCACCATTTACCGAAATGGTCATTCCCGCTAAACTTGAAGGTGACCGAGGTGGTGTTCGATGGGGTACAACTGGTCCACCGAATTTGGTACGAAGGGACGGCGACATTGTTGTTGGCAGAACAGTTGTCGACTTGGACAAGGATTACATCCCTGTAAGAGTTGGAAATTTGTCATCCGGCCGGAAGAAACTAAAGAAAGGAACTGAGATAGCTGTTTGTGAAGCTGCCGCGAGTATAACGGCCACGAACATGGCTAGCGAAGGAAAGGAGAATCTCCAAACCTCGAAGAAAGAGCCTGTACCAGACTATTTACAATCCTTGTATGAAAGTAGCACGGAAAATCTTTGTGACCGCGACAAAGAGAAGGTTGCGGAGCTGCTGGTATGTTTTCAAGATGTGTTCTCCCAGGGATCGGATGATCTTGGACGTGCGACGGGTGTGAGACACGACATCGTCACGGGGAATGCGGCGCCTGTGAAACAACCACCAAGAAGAATTCCAGTCTCCAAGCGAGAAGAAGCGTCCAAAGCCATCAAGGATATGGAAAAGCAAGGCATAGTTGAACCGTCCACCAGTCCATGGAGCTCGCCTGTTGTTCTTGTCAGGAAAAAGGACGGCTCTACCAGATTTTGTGTTGACTATCGTCGCTTAAATGACGTCACTCGGAAAGACTCGTTCCCACTGCCACGAATTGACGCGACCCTCGACGCTCTCAATGGTGCCAGTTGGTTTTCTACATTGGATTTGAAAAGTGGCTATTGGCAAGTTGAACTTGAATCGAGTGCGAAAGAGAAGACTGCATTTTCTGCGGGGAAAGGTTTGTGGCAATTTAGGGTGATGCCTTTCGGATTGTGTAATGCTCCCGCGACGTTTGAAAGGCTCATGGAAGCCGTGTTGGCAGGACTTCCTTGGGAGACGTGTCTCGTTTATCTCGATGATATTATCGTTCATGCGGCTGATTTCAAGAGTCACATTAAGAATTTGCGTCTAGTATTGGAAAAACTCCGACAGGCAAACCTAAAACTTAATCCAAAGAAATGTAAACTTTTCCAGCAGCAAGTCCAGTTCTTGGGTTACACTGTGTCGAAACGTGGAATATCGGCGGATCAAGAAAAGGTGAAAGCTGTTCAAAATTGGCCACAGCCAACAAATGTTCGTGAAGTAAAGAGTTATCTGGGACTATGTACCTACTATCGACGATTTGTTCCAGGCTTTGCGAACATTGCCAAACCACTACACCTGTTAACCGAGAAGAATGCGAGATTCCAATGGACAAACGAATGTGAGGCAGCATTTAAATCGCTGAAACAACATCTGACGAAGACCCCCACACTTGCATATCCTGACTTCCAGAAACCATTCATTCTTGACACAGACGCCAGCAACATAGCCATTGGTGGTGTTCTCTCGCAGATTGTCGATGGCGCGGAACGTCCTATTGCCTACTTCAGTAAGACCCTGAGTAAACCTGAAAGTCAGTACTGTGTAACCAGAAGGGAACTGTTGGCGGTGGTTAAAGGGACAGAACATTTTCATCCTTACCTTTATGGGAATCGGTTTTTGGTAAGAACTGATCACGCTTCTCTACAGTGGCTCCCCTCCTTCAAGAATCCAGAAGGACAAATGGCGAGGTGGTTGCAGAAACTGCAGCAGTACAACTTTGATGTCGAACACCGCGCTGGAAAGCATCATGGAAACGCTGACGCCCTGTCCAGGAGACCATGTGACCAAAACGGATGCCGCTATTGTGAGAAGAGGGAGGTATTGGAATGGCAGTTACGGGAAGAAGACTCTCGGCATTCAGTTGTGGGCACGACTGGGCACCAGGTTGGCGCAGTTACTAGTGATCAAGCGTGTTTTGAGCGTATTGGACAAGCACAGCGTTCCGATCCTGAAATCCGTTGTGTGATAACGTGGTTGGAGGAGTCGTTGACGAAGCCGGAATGGCGAAAAGTGTCCTCCTATAGTACTGCCGTGAAGTCGTACTGGGGCCAGTGGGAGTCATTGAAACTACACGAGGGGAGAATGTACAGGATCGTGGACAACGACGCAGCTCAGCAGCTTTGGCAACTGGTTGTCCCGCAAGCATTGCGAGGAACAGTCCTTCAACAGCTTCACAACAGTCCCACAGGTGGTCATTTTGGTGTTACGAAGACATTGGCTAAAGTTCGAGAAAGGTTCTTTTGGCCGAACTGCCGTCAGTACGTCGAAGAATGGTGCCGAAAGTGTGACAAGTGTGCTTCTCGTAAAGGACCGAGTAAACGTCAAAGAGGACCGATGAAACAATTCAATGTCGGCGCCCCGTTGGAAAGAGTGGCAGTTGATGTGTTGGGTCCCTTACCAACGTCTTCTAGTGGTAACAAGTATATCCTAATCCTTGGAGATTACTTTACTAAATGGGTGGAGGCATACCCCTTAGAAAACCAACAAGCTGTGACTGTGGCAGAAGTGATCGTAAAGGAGTTCGTTTCTCGTTTTGGTGTTCCTCTTCAGTTACACTCCGACCAAGGACGCAACTTTGAGGCAGAGCTGTTCCAGAGAATGTGCGAACTGTTGGGAATCGACAAAACTCGAACAACCGCGTTGCATCCACAATCTGACGGAATGGTTGAACGATTCAATCGAACTCTGGAAAACCAGCTTGCGATATTTGTCGAACAAAATCAAAGAGACTGGGATAGGTGGATACCATTTCTATTATTGGCGTATCGAACATCAATTCACGAGAGTACGAAGCAGACACCAGCATGTCTTATGTTTGATCGAGAGGTGAGGCTGCCAATTGACCTGTTGTATGGTCGACCCCCTGGACCAGAGTTACCAAGTACAGTGGATGATTATGTCAGTAATCTACGGGGAAAGTTAGAAGAAATCCACGAGTTTGCACGCATTCGGATGCGTGTTGCCAGCGATCGAATGAAACTTCGCTATGATGTTGGTACGACAAAAGCCGTCTTTTCTGAAGGAGATGCTGTCTGGCTATACAACCCAAAACGGAGAAAAGGTGTATCCCCCAAACTTACTTGTGACTGGGAAGGACCTTATGTTGTTCTTAAAAGAATTAATGAACTGTTGTATCGAGTAAGGAAATCTGCGAACGCTAAACCTCGTGTCGTACATCGAAATAGGTTGTGGCGCTATCAAGGAACACTTAATTAAAACAATTAAGGAACTTTATTCGGGACGAATAAACTAAGGAGGGGGCAATGTGGCGTGACATGCTCCAAGTATTATGTAAATATGTAAATAGTCTAATTGAATTGCCAATTAGGTGTACACTTGTATAAATAGGTGTTTTTGCTTGTAATAAAGTGGTTGTTGTGAAACTCATGCTTTATTCAAATAATTTCATGATACTTTGATTTTATTAGTGCCTTAAACATTTGAGAATGTAATTCGGCAAAACTAAAAGCTTTTCTGTCTTTCAATTGAAACGTATATTATTGGAGTATTGCCTATTGGCAAGTTCTACCCTTCGCTTCCGAGATTTACAAACTATATTGAAATAATGCAAGTAAAAAATAGTGACAACTTATAAGCCACACATTTTCCAATAATGACAAAACGTGGATGCAAAACAATACCAATAATTACAATAACCACCACGGTGATTACTTTTTAACAATGAGTTTAAGGATTAACACTGAAAGTGCAAAATATGCATGGTGTGCTGTGAAGCGTCATAAGTCCTATTGATCTACTGTAACTGTGTAAGCCCTTTCGATACATGTAATTGTAAATTTGTATTCTTACATGCAGGGCTTGAAATGATAAACGTTCCCAAAGTTCACGATCATGGTGATCGGCAGTCATGACTTTCCCTGCTTTTTTCAGGTTGGAAACCGAAACCCTGCTTTTCCGCCGGTCATAAGAAATTCCTTGCCGATCGGTGATCGGTTGTTATTTCAAGCTCTGTCTTAACAATTTTGAATTGATACTGATTTCAAATGATTAAAGCCATGTAATAATTATCCCATGCAACTGTTAGGAAGGGCGAAATATTGAACGGAGGACGAAAATCCTAAAGAAAAGGTGAAGTTTCTAAAGGGGGCGAATTTCCTAAAGGGGGGCGAAATTCCTAGGACACCGGCATGTAGGGGGGGCGAAAATGTAGGGGGGGGGCGAAAATCCTGGGACACCGGCATATAAACACTCGTTGAGACTAGGGGATTGTGGGTTTTCTCGAGCAGATCCATCATACACCACACGAAGTTTTGTCGATTCTGCGCCTGTTCGCACAACAGGCTTGTGGGGAAGGTAAAACTCCTTGGATGTAGGGAGTTCATTGGCCAACTCCACTATTCCCTCTTCCTTTTGTTGCTCGATTACCTTGTTGTATTCACGAGTGACTTCCAGTTTCTCTAATTTGTTATATAAGCGATCAAGTTGGCGTAGGCTGCCTTCCTTGTTGCTAGGTAATGGTGGGTGGTTCTTCTTCCACAATAATCCAGTTTCATACCATCCCTCTGGATCGCGTATAAGCTGTTCACGGAACTCAGCATGCACCGTCTGTTGATCGTGCTCGGGCCTATCTTCCAAGCCAAGTATATCTAGCCGACACAAATCCTCATGGTCGGTATGGCTAGTCTGGGTTAACAACATCTTCGAATGATCCAACTCCTTCCCTGAAGACATTATAGTCCACCCGATGTGACGAATTTAAATCCGCCTGTGTGGGTGTCGGCAAATATAACTTCATATACAAAAAAAAGTTTAAATATATTTTTCTATCATTTGTTTGATATAACTAAAAACTAAAACTATCACAGTGTAAATCCTATACTATTGTTGTTAACTGTCTCTCAAGCTACGATAGTTGCGACCTTTGGCGAGTTGTTCCTTCCCGTTGTTTCTTCAGCTAGTCCTGACAATCCCGATTTTCAGAGCGCTCGTTAAGTTTACCAGGGTTTTGATAACGGTCCCCGCTTTCAATTCCATTACACCGATCTCCAAATAACTTCGTCTTCACACGTTTACAGCTGAGTGTGTTGCTCAAGTCACTAAAGACTATACCAGAGCGTTTGATCATTGAAGACCCACGTAGTGTATTGCTCAAGTCACTGAAGACTATACCAGAGCATTTGATCATTGAAGATCCACCTTTCCCATATAATGTAAAGTGCGACGTTGATAACGTATATTTCTTTCGTTTTACCTTATCAAGTTATTTTATCAGTGTGTAGACCACTCCTTAATCGGTTCTACTTCAACACGAGTTCGTTCGTTCTGCCTCAGTGTCTCTCTGATTATCGCCTTTTATTCTCTCGCAGCTTGATTACATATTCTATACGCATATGATTTATTATTCTAATGGCTCCCAGGGCTACACCTTGCCACCAAAGATCATATTACGTATGTAATAGATCCCAAAATTTTATACCTAATTATATTTACACCCTACTTCTCTTTTTTTTTTAATACAAAAAGTTAACAAGAACAATTCGAATGGAAACGTACATGAGGGGGAGATACGAAACGAAATTTCCCTTGGAACTGAACGATCGAATTGCTGCACTTCGAAATCTTATGGCATTCTACTAAGCGCATACACATTCACATGCTTCTCTCCACACTTATGTTCTAATTCGATGTCATATTCCTGAAGGGTTAAACTCCATCGCAATAATTTCCTATTCTTGTTTTTAACCTGGTTTAACCAAACTAAAGGGTTATGATCCGTTTGAAGGATAAATTTTCTTCCAAACAGATAATACCTAAATGTCTCAACTGCCCAAACTATCGCTAAGCACTCTTTCTCAGTTGTAGACAACTTCATTTCTCTAGGCTGTAACTTCCTACTGGCAAACACAACAGGGTATGCGCCCATTTTGGTTACGCGATTTAATTTACGATAATCGACACAAAATCGAATATTTCCATCTGGTTTTGGATCTATTACTACAGGCGATGCCCAAGGGCTAGTTGAGGGTCTAACTATCCCCATTTCTAACATCTGATCCAATTCTTTATTCACCGCATTAACTAAACTTTGTGGAATCCGATATGGACCGGAACGAATTGGACTAGCTTGACCTGTATCAATACTATGAACAGCTACATTTGTCCGACTCGGAATATTTGAGAAAATGTCCGAAAATTCCTTGAGTAATTCCCGAACCTTTGCCGTTTGTGCCCCACTTAATTCCGATGAAATTTCGACGTCTTTCCACGTCTCCTCCTTTTCAACAGAGGGAAAACTATGCTCATACGATAAATGTTCAGGAAGAGGTCCCGAGGGAGCAAAACTACTTATTTCTTCTCTGGTTTAGGCCTTAATAGATTTATGTGATAATTAGTCCGTTTTTGTTTTCGCCCCTTTTCTCTATCTAATTCATAATTCAAGCCGTTCGTACAAACGTTAGTGACAGTGTAAGGACCCTGCCATTTGCTTTCGAGTTTACTCCCAGGCGTCGGTAACAATACCAGTACTTTATCGCCAATCTGAAATTTCCTATGCGAACTTTTCTGATCATAAAGCTTCTTTTGTTTGGCTTGACTCTTTTTAGTATTTTCATGAACAATACTTTGCATTTGACTTAATCGTCGTCGCGCTTCTAACACATAACTTATCGCGTCTTTGGGTAAAGATTCTTTGCGAACCCAAGTTTCTTTAATCAGTGAGAAGGGCCCACGTACACTCCTCCCATATAATAATTCAAACGGCGAGAACCCAGTCGACTGACACGGAACATCGCGATAAGCAAACAATACATACGGTAAATACTTATCCCAGTTATCAATTTGATTCGCTACAAATTTCTTAAGCATATGTTTTAAAGTGCCGTTAAATCTCTCAACCAAACCATTAGCCTCTGGATGATAAACCGACGTTTTAATATGCGAAATACCCAATAATTCGTACAACTGTCTCATCAGTTGTCCAATTAAATTAGATCCTTGGTCAGAGACTATTTCATTTGGTAGGCCCACCCGTGAAAATACACTAATTAACGCTTCAGCAATAACGCGAGAATGAGTTGTTTTCAGCGGAATTGCTTCCGGATATCGAGTAGCATAATCAATCAAGGTCAAAACATATTTGTACCCTGTTTTTGTTTTTGGTAATTCACCTATCAAGTCGATTGCAATTTTCTTAAATGGTTCAGATACCGTTGGGACCGGATTTAGTGGAGCTCTACTTATAATTGATTTTCGGGCCACTAATTGACATTGTGGGCACATTGCACAATAATCTTTTACTTCCGCATATAAGTGTGGCCATGAAAAATGTCGAGATATCCTTTCGTATGTTTTCTCTTGTCCCATGTGCCCTGCAAGTGGAATAGAGTGACCTACTCTCAATATTTCTGGCCTATATGCTTCTGGGGCCACAACCCTGTCAATAAAGGGCAATCCATCATGCGGGTATTTTGTAAATTTTCTATGCATAGTAATACCATTTAGGTAGAAATAACCATCTGTGTCTTCCGGTGGTACATTTAAAATAGTTAAATTATGTGAAGTAACATCTTTCTTTTGATCATTAATCAATTGTGAGTGACTACGGTCTAAAAGATTTGTTTCTAATTGACAGCCATTTTCAGAGGAGTCTATATCTGCAACCGGTTCTTTTACGCATACTTTGTCGGGATCAGGTTCCGTTATAACATTATTATCTTCACTAAATAAATTATTTAATTCGATAGTCTCAGATAATTCATCTTTTGCGGGTTCCTTAGGGCTTAGAGTCTTAATAGCTAATTCATTTTGTTTATCTGTCAACTTATCCAATCTAGTTTGAGCTTTCACAAGCGCTGCTTGTCTTCGAGTAACAACTAAAGCGGACTTATTCTTGTCACTATACACCACTGTCGGTTCTATATTTAAGTCGACAGCTTGCTCCCAATGATCAAGCAAATTTTTCTTGGCTAAAGACTTGCCATAGGACGAACGCCCAAGTAAACAATCTACGGGGAGATTTCTCATAACCTCCACTAATTCTCGATGTATCCCTTGTTCACTACTTATGGTTACCCATGCTAAAGGGACTTCGACTCTATCACCATTTGCAGTGATAACTGTAATATTTTCACCAGTAAAACTATTTTTACTAACAAGGTTTTCATGCACCAAAGTCCTTGAACAACCAGAATCGATTATCATTTGGACTTTGTTCCCGTTTAAATTCCCTACTATGTAACTTCCAAGGGTATTATATCCCTTAGTCATTCCTAACAATGCGGCATTTTGTTTTTTTTCTTTCGGCACTCATGCGCATAATAACCTTTCTCTTGACAATTAAAGCACTTAACTTTTGACTTGTCCAATTTATCTCGAAATTTCCCAAAGTCTGGCTTATCTGGATTTCCCTTATTATTTTCGTAAACTTTATCTCTCATTTTGCAAAAATCATCATTCCTAGGCTTATTATCATTTCTTTTGGCACTAACATATTTACCATCAATTAAGGGTCCCTTTCTACTTTGTACATAATCATTCGCTAAATTTGCCAATTCCTCTGCGGTATTGGGCTTTCTCTCTTTCAACCATACTTGTAACTCAGGGCCAACCCCATCTAACAATCGTTCTATAACAATTTGTTCTAATATTTTTTCTCGGTTGTCTATGGCCTCTGCCACAGTCATCCATCGGTTCAAGGATCTACGGGTTCTGTGAGCCCACTGGCCAAAATCTTCGCCAGCCTTTTTTTCTGAATGGCGAAATCGATATCTATAATGGTCAACATTAAGCTGATATGCTCTTAATATAATAGCCTTACTTTTATTATAATCCTGAGCATCTGGACCAACAATTTCTAAATATATAGACTTCACTTTTTCACTTAAACGGGGGATTAAACTACCTAGCCACTCGTCTTGCGAAATTAACTGGGCCTTAGCAGTCATCTCAAAAATTCGAAAATAATCATCTATATCCTCATTTTCTCTCATTTCTCGCACCTTTATAGGCTTTGGTACTCTCTGCTTAGCTACATAGATCTGATATTTCTCTCGTTCCAATTCTACTTCAAACGCTTTATCTTCCCTCTCAGCCCTCCTTTTACGCTCTTCCCGTCTCATTTCAAGTTCGTCGCGTTCTAATGCCATATCTCTTTCAAATTGCAAAAGACGCAATCGTTCGTCAAAACTTAAGGACCCCAGGGGCTCGCGAGTACGTTCATAACTTGTGGGACCCGAGGGAATTTTGCCCTTATTGCCATAGTCATGGTCACTACTGAAATTACCCGAGTCTTCTACAGTTTTTGTTGTTCGTGTTTTTGAAGGCTCAAACACCCCTCTGTCAGTTTCCAATTCTACAGTCTCGTCCTCTGTTTGTACTTTTTCTACAGCTTTATCACTTGCTCTTAACCTTGCAGCAAGTGTTTTAACGCCATCTTTTGTATTAATTACAATTTCACGGCCAGCACATTCTTTTCTTAAGAGTTCTAATCCCCAATCGTCGTATTCGCTCATTATACGATTTAATTGTTCTTTCGTGATAATTGTTCACTATTAATACTACAGTGTGTATCAAAATAATTCGAATCCAAATTTGACAGACTGCTGTTTATAAAATACTAAAGTAAACCATATAATTTTTATATGGCAATAAAGAATAGCCTATTAGGTTTCCGATTATATCGTTCTTATATCAATAAGATCAAAAATGACCAAGAAATCGTGTGTTAAAACTGGTTGCTCGAAATCAAATTTTTCCGCCGATGGGAATTCGAAGTGAGACGTACAAACAAAAGATAATGCAAATTTAATTAATTAGCAAACTATTATGTAGCAAAATTTACATAAATTCGTGTTCATTTAAAGAGATTTAAGCTCCTATGCCTTCAACATGTTGAACGAGAAGAAATTCGCGTTAAATTTGCATTTTAGTTTTCAGTGATGATTAGCATTTCAAAGCCTTGTGGGACTAACTTTGAAAGAAAAAATGTCCAATTCCCATCGGCGGAAAATTGTGATTTTTATGGACTTTTTTGTCAAAGCAATACTCCTTCATTTTCCAACTAAATGACGCGTACAGCATGTCATTTGAAAGGTAAATAAATGAACTTAACAATGGTGTAAAAAACAACCGAATTTGTCAAATATATTCTGCGTTATTACACGCCAAATTTGGATTCGAATTATTTTGATACACACTGTATTTCTTCCTATTAACCGACTAATCCCACCGCTGCCACCAATTGTGACGAATTTAAATCCGCCTGTGTGGGTGTCGGCAAATATAACTTCATATACAAAAAAAAATTAAATATATTTTTCTATCTGTTTGATATAACTAAAAACTAAAACTATCACAGTGTAAACCCTATACTATTCTTGTTAACTGTCTCTCAAGCTACGATACTTGCGACCTTTGGCGAGTTGTTCCTTCCTGTTGTTTCTTCAGCTAGTCCTGACAATCCCGATTTTCAGAGCGCTCGTTAAGTTTACCAGGGTTTTGATAACGGTCCCCGCTTTCAATTCCACTACACCGATCTCCAAATAACTTCGTCTTCACACGTTTACAGCTGAGTGTGTTGCTCAAGTCACTAAAGACTATACCAGAGCGTTTGATCATTGAAGACCCACGTAGTGTGTTGCTCAAGTCACTAAAGACTATACCAGAGCGTTTGATCATTGAAGACCCACCTTTCCCATATAATGTAAAGTGCGACGTTGATAACGTATATTTCTTTCGTTTTACTTTATCAAGTTATTTTATCAGTGTGTAGACCACTCCTTAATCGGTTGTACTTCAACACGAGTTCGTTCGTTCTGACTCAGTGTCTCTCTGATTATCGCCTTTTATTCTCTCGCAGCTTGATTACATATTCTATACGGATATAATTTATTATTCTAATGGCTCCCAGGGCTACACCCGAACTTAGTTCTCTCTGCCACAGTCTCTCCCAGCTGACCGACACGTGGTGGTTCTGCCGTCTTTATTGCTGCATAATCACTCGCCCCGAGAATCAGGTGGACTGCCAAAAATGGTTTGGGATCATTATCCACTGTGACGACTCCTTCAAGATGCTTAAATGACTGAATTATCTCTGAATAATGTGGATTGTCAATTGTAAACAGTTTTCCCCGTTCGACTCTCGTAACTTCCACTTGTAATTTCTCTTCACCGTCAACAGATGCAACATTGATTGTGGACAAACTAACTTCACGAGTTGTGGAGCCAAGCATCATCTCAATTTTACGCACTTCCTTTGATTGTGACCGTTTTGGAAGTCGGTCTAACAGGGCTGCTGAAGCATAAGAGGTTCCGGCTCCGGTATCCAATAGGGCACGACACTCGATTCCCTCTACGTTAACATTTACTATTGGATACACGACTGGTTGTTGACCTTGCTCAGTAGCTAATAGCTTATCTTTCATCATACAGATTGATGTATGGTGTTTTTGCTTGCACCGCTGGCACCCAGAAGTGCTTCTACATTCAGAAGCTCGATGTCGTGCTCCTGTGCAATTAAAACACAACCGTTTAGTTGGTAGGATTTTCTTCCTCTCATTCACATCGACAACACGTGTACACTCACGTGACTTGTGATTGCTGTCTTCACAATATACACAACTGTGTTTCCTTGCACCAGTGTTAAAGACTTTGTCTGATCTATCCTTGCGTCTCCCTTTCTCTTTACCACTCTCCTCATTACATGGATTAATGTCTCTCCATACTTTCATTTCCTTAACAAGTTGCGCTAAGCCCCAATCCTGCCAACCTTCGTGCCCTCTCACAATATCGCTTTTTATACCCGGTAGTTTATCGATTACACTTCTTGTCATCCCATTAACACGCTCTAGCTTGCCTAGAGTCTCTAAAGACTGTACGTTATATAATAAAGTTTTGTAAAATTTATCTACCTCGATCACTTGGGTTGGCATCCTTGACAACAGGTAACTCCAAAATATTCTGCACGTATGCATTAACAATTTCGCTTGTTTTCCCATATTCGCCAGACAAGATTGCCTTCGCTCGACTGTAACCTTCTGTAGTTAGGGGTAGCCCATCAATATCCGTTCTTATTTTTGGTTCTACGAGTTCTTTCAATTATGCGAACTTTGTCACCGGAGAAAGATCAGTGCTATCAATTTCCGCCTTGAATTTGTTCCAAAATGGCAACCAGTTTTCATATTTCCCATCAAATTTTGTTATAGAAAGCTTAGGTAGCTTCGTTGAACTTGAACTCGCTTTCGCTTCACTCTGTCGATTTGCTTCTAGTAGTGCCTTTTGAAATTTTAGTTGTTGTTCGAATAGCTCGTGCTCTTGACGTAATTTTTGTTCGTGTTTTTCTTGCTGAAACATGAGTTCCTTTTTAACGGCTTCGGCTTTCTCAATCGCTTGCGTTTTTCGCACAATTTCGTCTTGAATTTGTCGCAGTTCTAAAACTTTTTCGTCGGCAGCTTTTAATTTTTCCTCAATAGCACTTACCCACTCAGTTATTTGCTCCTCAGTCTCCTCTTGTACGAATTTTTCTTCCTCAATACTGTCCTTTAAGCTGTGACATGCATTGACCTTTGCTATTATCGAATTTTCGTGTCTGGATATCGCTTCGCTACTGCTCGTTTTAATCACTTCGTCGCTTCTTTTCACGGTAAATTCGAGTGTTCGCAATTTCCTTTCGAGCTCCTTCACTTTTGATTCCATATCTCCGTTAATTTACAAGAAATCAGTAGAATAATCACCAGTTTTAATGCTTTTTTAAGACAGGTTTCGTTTCCCGCGGTCGTGTCGTTCGTGACCTTATATAAATGCCAATATTACCACAGGTTCTTGCTCTTGTACGAGCGATAAATCACACAAATCCCGTTTGTAGGTGCCGCTATGTCGAGAATTGCCCCCTGGTAGTTCTCAACACAATAAGTTTAGTTTTCTTTAGTTTTACAACACGCTGTCTCAAAATTGTTTTACAATCACAATAACAACTACCGGTATATTCCGGAACTTTCCGAGAGGGTTCAGTTCGGACTCGCGCGTCCCACGCGTAAACATAACATAATATATTGATGACAGTTTTCGACACTACAACCCCCAGTTGCTACGTCCCTGTGTGACGATTTCTATCGCCGACGTGGGCGCTGCAGCTGCAGCGTGAGCGCTGCAGCTGCTGCGACGTGGGCGCTGCATCTTTTTATTCAGCTAGCTTAACTTTCTGCGTAGTATCAATCATATAACAGCGTTGTATCTTGTTTGTTTAGAATTTTAATGGCTATGTCTTATGAACAAAAGCGTGACGAAACTTGCTGACAAACAGAACATTCTTAAATCGCTTCGAGGTGGTTTTCTGTCGATCTCAAATGAACTTGGGCGTATATAGTCAGCGAACTTCAGTATACTTCCAACAAAAGCAAGATGTCTTTCCAAGTTGTTTTTCTCCTGACGGTCTTCGTCGGTTTTTGAATGTTTAGGAACTCCTACCTTGCTTGTCCTGTTTTTCCTCTGCTCGCTTCAAACTCTGGGCTCCTTATATAATCCATTAATTTACATATTCATAATATATAATTTATATATACAGCTATTCTTTTATCACACCTTCCCGCCAAAGATCATATTACAACTGTAATTGATCCAATGCTGTTAAAAAATCTGACGAGTACACAATTGGTGGCAGTGGTGGGATAATCAAGGCTGCAAAGTGTTATTAGTAAATTGTAGTGTCAGGATGACTGACTATAATGACTGGCAATTAGATGCGCTACGGGAGGAATGTACTAGAAGAGAATTAACAATAAATTCAAAAGACGGTGTTAAGACATTGGCTGCCAGATTACGTACATATGATATAAATTTTGTTGTTGGGAAAACGGATGAGGCACAAGCATTAGCTCACGATACCCAACTTGGAGAGTTTGAGAATGATGAACATATGCAAAATCTTTCAGATAGCCTGGGTAAATTGAAATTGGCCAGTGATCTGCCGATGAAAAATGGGGGCGAAATTCCCGGGGATACTTTAAGTTTTCGGGAGAGGATGAAGCTCTTACGCTTTGAGCGGGACTTAGAACGTGAGAGGGAGGAGAGAGAAATCAGAAGAGAGGAGCGTAGACAACGAGCTAGATTTGAGGATAGGGCGTTTGAGGTAGAACTAGAGAGAGAAAGAGTTAAAACTCCATCAGTTTCCGGATGCTCGGGAAAATTTGTTAAAGTGCGAGAAATGAGGGAGACTGAAGATATCGATGATTATTTTCGGATTTTTGAAATGACGGCTAAAACACAGCAAATCCCACGGTGAGAATGCTTAGGAAGTTTGCCACCACGTTTAAGCGAAAAAGCTAAATCTATATTTCTGGAAATTTCGGGATTGGATGCCTGTAACTATGATAAAAGTAAGGAAATGATATTGAAATCGTACCAACTTAATGTAGATCATTATAGGTTTCGGTTTCGGCATACCGAGAAAAAACCGGATGAAGATTTCGGGCAATGGGCTCATAGGACGAGGCGG